CATCCATTTCAAATTTTCTTCTATACTAAGAAACAATTAATTTTGATTTATTCACTCGCTTACACTTTCCAAAGTTAGTTTAGCATGCTATCCAGATGTAACCTGAAAGTTGGAGATGTTACAAGTGCTCGATGTTTATTCTTACATAAGCTTATCATTTCCAAAAATTGTAATAGTCAATATTATTTGATATATCATAAAGTTTGATATGTTTTTTCATATATCAGTTCAATATTTCATTATCTATGTGTCTTATGCAGCCTTTCGCAGATTTCCTATATCGATAGAATCAGATAATACAATCGGATCAAACATACCTTTTTTTAGTGACGATTGCTTGCAATTTGTTTTAAGTAATTTTGGTAATTTTAAAATTAGATTTCTATATACCAGATAATTATCAGGTGCACCCATTTCTAAGTTTATTCGATAAAATTGGGGAAAATAATTTTTTTTTCGTTTTTTAGATTCGACTGACTCAGATCAAAATACTGAAGATGAAAATTTGAAAGCACAAAATAAATCTAATTCTTTTCCGAAAAATGCAAAGAAACAAGGAAAGTGGAAATTTGAAAAGGTGTGTTGTATATGGATTTGGTTAATTTATAAGATTAGGAATAAAAGAGAAGATTTGGGAAACGCTGATTTATCACGGTGCAAAAAGATATTCTATCACGAATATTTCTTACATTTATTTGAAACTAAGAAAGCATTTTTGTCAAGTTTTCAGATGCGAGCACCGCAATTTGAACATCCGTGGCTTTTAACAACACTAAAAGGACATGTAAGTGATGTCTTGGATTTGGATTTTTCTTCAAATGGCAAATATGTTGCATCAGTTAGCTCAGATCGTTCACTCTATCTCTGGAATGTTAAGGTAAGCGTTATTTATCGCTAAATTTAGGTTTGTGGGCGTTTAGTTATGTTTGCAAGTAGTAATTTTAAGATAAATAAGCTAATATTTATTTATAAGTTCGATGTGTTCTTTAAGTAGATGTGTTCTCTGCTGTCTTATAATTCTAAAAAAAGAAAAAATTCTGACGTGAGTTTGAGATTTATTGAATGTTCAGTGAAAGTAATAAAATTTATTTCTGAAAAAAAATTTTATTTTCAAACAGTTGAAGGAAAACATTAGTAGAGAGGAAATATGAATTAGTGGCGACAATTCAAAACGTTTATTCAAGAAACTCAACCAATGTTGTGCATGAGATATTACTCAACTTTTGTTGGAATTTTGAACTGAGCATTTTACTTCAAAAGTGTTTTTTCAGGATTTCTGTGAGCGTGACCACAAATTGCATCGTTGTAGTGTTGAACTGGACGATGCAAGTCATATCGTCTTTGCACCTGATTCAAAATGTGTCCTTATGAGTCTAAAAATTGCTAACAAGGTTCCATTATCTTCAGACAATTGTTCTCTGTTATTCCGACAGCAACAGATATCCAATGATTTTGATTATCTACTGTAATTTGAATTTTTCAGTTGGATGTTTACAAAATGACAAAGAAGGAAGGTACTCAAAGTTATAAGTTTTCGCGTGTTGAAAATGTTGATTTTCCGGTTGTCCATGACGAGGATATCAATAACATTGGAATTGCCTGTAATGGTAATTGTAATAAATAAATAGTAATTCAATATAATATGAACTAACATGCAAATAGATACGAGTACTATAAATGTAACTGCTGATATAAGAAATAAGTCTAAGTAATTATTAGATAGAAAATGAGTGTAGATGGTGAAAATGTAATTATTACAGAATGTTGGGTTATATATATTTCAATCCATACGATACTTATATATCCATGCCTATACATTTAGTTCATTTGTTATTCATCTTAATTTGCGGTTGTTATCACAGTCTCCAGTTGTTTAAATTTTGTGATTTTTCATAATAGGAACATTTTGTTTTCTAATAACTGATATATCGATCATTTTAAAACCGTTGTATCATTTCAGGAATATTTTATAACAAACTTTTTATAGGAAAATTTGTGATGTCGGCATCAGTCGATAATCAGCTTGTGATATATAGCATTCATGGAGAAGTCTTTAGAAAGATTGAGCTAAAATTGAACATTCTGTACAGTGCATGTATCTCACCGTGTGGACGTTTTGTTGGAGCAAGTGGTTTTACACCCGATGTTTTTGTTTTTGAAGTTCGTTGATATTGGATTGAACTTTTTTTGTTGATTCGGAGAGAAAACTTTGGGATTGTGAATTCCATATTTCAAAACTTTTTTAAGGTATTATTTGATCGTCAAGGAAGCTTTCAAGATGTGAAAAAAGCTTTTGAACTAAAGGTACTAGTTTGATTTTGTACTTTGCATTATCTTAGGGGTGTAGCATTTTTATTGAGTGTATCCTGCGGGCTATCTGGGGTACTCGAAAAAGAAAGGCATTTTAAATGGGAACTTATTCCACAATGTGCAAAAATAGAAATAGGATTTTGCATTCAAAATGGAATAAGAAAAGATGGTGGTAGTTGTAGGATTAAATTCTCTTTATTGTTTTTGCTTTTATAAGTATCTTTGAGTAGTTTTAGGCCCAGATACTCTAGAATTGGTTAGATTGCATGAAACTTCAACGAAATACATTTTTAGGGTCACAGTTCTCGTATTTACTCGTTTTCTTTCGATCAAAGTTCAACACGATGTGTCACAGCATCTAAGGATGGAACATGGAAAGTCTATAATACCGATGTGCGTTATTCACAAGGCGAAGAAACCAAGATTATTGCCAGGTTTGCGAAAGGATTTTATGTTTTTTCCCTACATTAATTATTATTGAAATAAATCCGATGTTTTGCAGTGGAGAATTTGAACTGCTGAAGAATGCTCGTCCCGAGTCAGTCAAAGTAGTAATGAGTCCATCAGGAAATAGTTTTGTTATATCAGCTAATCGTCACATACGTTTGTATAGCACTTTACGACCTCAAAAGGAATTCAAAATGAGTACGTTTCTAGTGCATATATAATGCTTTAATTGGAAATATTCCGTATAATTCACTAATATTCTTTGTTATACATTTGCCGTATTGGATTTTGAGAATCTTTTTTTTTCTGATGCTGTGAGCATATACTCCCACATATTTTATTGAGTGATTTAAGAATTTGACAGAACTGGATGATATGCAAGTATTAGGGAGGTTTCGCAGAGTCTAATGTATTATTAATTAGAGTGGAAGAAAATGACGTATGGAATTGCAGCTCACCATTTTATATGGTATTGTCTTCATTTCCTTAAACATCCTATTTAGTTTTGGATGTACACGACAAGCCAATAAATGGCCTACGGATGAGTTCATGCGGGACAATGATCGCAACTTGTGGTGATCGATATATTAGGATATTTCATAATGTTGCAGAATTTTATAGTAATGTAGTTTTGCTGGAAAAAACCATACAAGAAACTCGTGAAGATAGCAGAAGGCGACGTCTTGAAGAACAACTACATGAAGCTAAGCGAGCACTTAGTCCATTTTCATTTTCTTAATTCAGATTTGGAGAAATAAGGTGAATTCTATCTTTTCATCGCAATAAAATTGAATTGTAAAAGCTTCCTTATTTTTCTTTAATAGGTCATAACAGATTTTCTAAAGATAGGATTTTAGGGTTAGTTGGAAGGTAGAAAAATTTGGTTGCCTTCAAAAGTAGTTGATATTTACAGTCTTTCAGTGTTTATTGCGGTTAAAATTTATATGCTATCGTTTTCTCGACATGCTTATGATTAGATTCCCGAGCCTTGTGACTTCCCATCCTTGTAAGTTCGGAACAATTCAGAATACCAGAAGTTCATTATGCATTACTACTTTTCACAACAGTTGAAAGATGTATTTGCACGGAAAATTTTGATTTCAATTTTCGTGTAGCTGTGGAATTAAACTGAACTGCTCTGGAATTAAAATGAATTTGGCTGATCTGGAATAAATTGCTGTTTCAGAACTTAAATTTTTTGGAAGTTCGCCACTTTATTTTTACTGCTGGATTTCAAAGTTTTTTTTTGAAAGCAAAACACCGAAAATTCAATCAGTCCAATTTATTTTAGCTTAATTCAAATTTTTTTCTTGTTCAATGGAACTTGCTGTAAGTCACTATTCTAAGTAACATCTTTCTTACATTTTTATGCAGGTCTTTAATTCTGTTTTATTTAATGCTAAATTGCTGCATCTTTCATCAAACTTGTATTACCTTATTTTCCGCTAGTTAAATTTGTCACCCGTTAATTTATTTAGGTTTTTTTTCCTTTATTTCTGTTTTGTGTAATTGATGTTATTTATTCATTTTGTGATATGTTACTAAAATTATTATTCTCGAATTTGATATATACTAAGAAAGAAAAACATGAAGCAAACAGAAATTAATAAGTTTTTCTCGATGGTAAAAAGAAACAAATTTTTCTTTTTCCCTTATTACATTCCTATTCCTATTTTTAGTGCAGAATTCCAATTGATCGTTAATCGAAATCCATTCTGAAAAGGGATGGATCCTTTTGTTTATATGACACATTTGTTAATGCTGTGATATGTGAGAAGGATAGCAGATTGGTATGAGTATTGGTTGAATATTGTGGTTTTTACCTTAGTACTCCTAGCTTTTTGTTAGTTTAAATTGGGTGTTCAATCAGAATTCATTTCGATTGAACTGATTGTTAGCTTATCTCGGATTTGGTATTGTTACGTATACGATGGTAAAATTGCCTCGAATAATGTTGAATAAAAAATTCCGCAATTTTCATAAGGTATTTTAATCTACGAAAGCTTCAAGAATTAATTTGTGAGCGATCAGGACCGTTTCTTATGCCCGTTGACACTTTTATCTCATAACTCAGGGGTTCTGTATTGGACAACCTGTCACACTCTTTTGATTCGACACAGCAAACAAACGAAATACGTACTATCACAAGAAATCAACTTGTCTTAATGAGATTCATTGCATTCTTTCTAAATGTACAATTCAGTATTTTATCACTGATCGATTGATGTATTATCGCCCGCAGAATCCTTTTTGTCATCTGAATTTCATTTCCTTTATTACAGTATTAAATACATATATGATAAGAAATTCTTGGTTCTTGAACGCACTATGTATTCCGGTGATGGAACGTGATAATGGAAATTTCTTGGGAAGAATCTCATGGTATTAGTCGTTAATTAGTTAATTCAATCAGTTAGCTTATTTTTTAATAGGTCTAACAATTATTTTCATGTAGCACTTTTAGAAATTTGCATAAACTGTTACTGAGAGGATTCGATGGAACAAACAATTGATATTAAATTTGAAATTGAAATTTGAATTTAACGTTGGTTCAGAATGGATTCATTAGCATATTGCTAATGAAGATTTGCTTATAAATGAACTATCGTCAGTAATATCACTTATACAAATAAGTGAATCTCATCAAAGTTATTCGAAATAAAGTCTGTTTTAAGTCTGTGATATCAACCTTTCACAGTGTAGGCTTTTTTCAGTTAAAAGGAATAAAAGCGGACAAAACGGTGTCAATTGATAGTTTTTGGATAAAAAATATTGGTCGATGATAAAGAATTAAATGTGGACTTTGATGAATTCGCGTTAGAAATTTCCATTACTGGTAATTAATTTAAGTTTTCAAGTTATTGATTTGTTTTCGAAATTCTCACTATTTACTTCATTCTTTTCCTTATTCAGCAACATAAAAAAAATACTCTGTGCTAGAAGTGTTAGGCAAGCCGATAGAAATTGAATAAAAAATAAAAAATTCTATAAATCGGAGATGTCGAATTTTAGGTGGGTAATGTTATCAATGGTTTAAAACATATATTATATATGGAGGAGGAAAAAGATAAGATTAAATAAAGAATTAATGAGAAATTAATAAATCAGAAATATCTTAAAATTAAAAGCAATCAAGATGTTTGTTAATAGTGACTGATTGACTAACCTTAAATTCATCACTGATATATCGTGGATCGTAGTTCTATTATGGATTAGAGAATTAAGTTCATAGATAATTGATTGTTATGCTTCTTCACATTTCTGATTCATAATTATAATGAAAAAATGGAACTGTGAAATTGGAATTGTAAATTGAAAATTTTGGTCGACTAAAATTTTTGATTTAAATTTGAAATCATTCTTAAAATAATATAACATCATAATTAACTATTTTAACCATTCTAGTCAGATTTTAATCTCATAAAATTACTGTCTTATTATTGAAATCTCCAATAAAATGAAATATTCTGAAATATCACAGTACCAAAAGTTTTATGCTCTTTCATCGTCAAATGATCACGCATTTCTTTGAACATCAAAGAGTATACAAAAATTTCCTTTTTATATTTAAATTAGTGTGACATGTCACCCTCAGACACTTCCATTTTTTTCTACAGTTGTTCAAATATATTAACTTGGATAAATATATGTGACATTTAATTAACACCCAAAAATGCGACTCGAAATGAAAAATCATAGCAGATAATAATTATTATTATGTCCAATGAATTAAATTGACAAATTTTAAATCATATGCAAATATAACACCAAAATATTTAAGCATACCTGCGTTATCATAAAAACATTTGTCTTATTGTTTCAAAAGTTAGACTTTACCCTGCATCTTAATATGATATCTTTAGAATAAAATTTTCACCTGAGCGGTAAAAATCAATTTCTTTCATTGGGTATGAATGGTTAAAGTTTTGCATACGATTGAATCGGATGAGTTAAAGTTATTGCGGTAGATCAGTTCAACAGTTTTTAAGTTATATTTCAAATTAAAAATTCTATGCCAACCGTCTACATCATATGGCTATTGAGTATATGCAATAAAGATGACCAGTAGTTGCATTGTAACACAACCAGAAATCTGTGAAAAATTGTATGAAATAATATTGGTGATCGTCCATAGCAGAATTATTTCCTGTGAAGAGTGGAGAAAGGAGGAGAAGAAAAATTTGTAAATTTTAAATTTCAAAAATGTCCAATTAAAAAAAAATGGAAACTGTAACCAAAGCGAAGGATTTTTTCTGTAATAACGTTTTTGACAGATTGCGAAGTTTAATTTTATAAAAAAAGAGAGCAAAATTATTAGCGAAAATGGAAGAATTTCATGTAAATTAAAAATGAGAAAAGAACGACTTCGCCATATTTTATTGTCGAAAAATTACACTTATCAATGGTATAAGTTAAATTTGATGAACTGATCAAATTATTGTCACATTGTTCGGTTCAATTGAAAACCAATCAACCAATGTGATGTTAGTAATTTTTTTTTTTTTTTTTGGAAACAAACATTGCAGTTAATATACAAGCGATAATATCTTTTTTCGGTTATTTACTGCTTTTTCTATGAGTTTTTTATTTTTTCTTTGCTTCTTCGAAGATTTAGCCATTATTGGTGACATCCAAGAAAGGTTGCCAACCGTGACATTAGCCATTTCAAGTATCATATTAGCCGGCAAAGTTTTCGTTATTGTTTTATTGACAAAGACATTTAAGGAAGTGCATATTCCGCAGAAACATATATTTTGAGCATACTGTTTCACCATTGGTGCACTGAATCCGCCAAAAGATCGAAAATCATCGAATGTTGGTGACGTAGCGGCGTCTAAACCTGAACCAATCACATTCCAATACCTGAAAACAATAAAAAAGTCAGGAGTATCACCAATTGGTACTATCTTTAATAAAATTGCTATTTTTAAATTCCGAAAATTACCAAAGAGGAATTTGTCCTTGATTGTATGTTATCTGTCCATTATCTGTTATCTGTTGCCAATCATACCAATTAGTATAAACACCTGTTATTACACCATTTTTCTGTAAAAACTTCAAATTAAAACGAGCCTGAATTTGTTATTTGTTTGAAATAATTGATATGAAATGAAAAGAATGAAAACTTTTTGTGTTATTACTAAAAAACAAATGAAATGAGCGATTGAAATAGTTCTGTGATACCTACCCAAGCTTCAACAATAAATCCATTGATAAAATCAATATTATTCTTTTGATTATTGGGCCAAGTGATTGGTGATGTTATCTGGAATAATAAAAATTAATTACTCGGAAAAAAAACTTTTTTATAAATCAATAATAAAATTAAATTCTTTGGAATGTTTTTTTAATGATAAAACGTGAAATTGAACTGACTAAAAGCTTTACCTTAATCCAAATAGTTTTTACAGCAATATTTTTTGTTGTTAAGAAATTGTACACTTCCCTAAATTGATCATTTCCGGATTTTGTGCCACAAGGCTGTGGTTCCACGTAAATCTCAACACCCATCCCTTCTGTAATACAGCATTCTTCCTTATCATATTGATTGTAACAAAAAATGATAAGATATTTAATTAATTTATTTGGTGATCAATTTTTCAATATCTTTATCAAAAAAGGAACCATTAATGGCATTGTAGATGTTGGCAATACAATCGTTGTCCGGAGCCCCATTTCCATTTGACTGATAGACTCGAATAAATGCAATCATGAAACCTGCTTGAAAGAAGCAACGAAAGATATTTGGGTCAGTGCAACTGGCTATATCTATTCCTTGGCCATAATTATTTGTCGGTATTTTTACTTTTGAATTAACAAGTATCTAAAAGTTTTTTATAATTTGAGAAAGAAAAAATTAATGCTAAATTATTTCGGAAGTTAATAGCAAAAAGTCATTGCAATTTACAAAAAGAAAAAAAAAGCCATCACTTCAAATTTTCTTGAAGGAAGAGAATTTATTGAAAGGAGGATTTAAATCCTCCTTTTTTCTCGAAAAGTTTTGTGTCAGTCAAGTGGTTCTTGTTAAAATTGTTGCAAACGATACGAAACAATTACTGTAGATCCTTCTGAATTCAAAAATACGATGAACTATCCGAAATTTGAAAAAAATGATGAACTATGGAAGATAGCAAATAAAGCAAAGAGTAGAAATAGCATTGAAATCATCAAATTTTGCTAATTCTAAACGAAAGACAGAGGTGACAGCAACAACATTTATTTAGAAAAAGATTTTGTTACAAATAATTGTAATGAAAGAAAAATAATAATTTCAAATAATTATACCTCAAACATATTTGTTGTCAAATTGTCCAGGGTTACTGCTTGTAGTAATGCAAAAGAAAAAATGATAATTCTTTCCATTTTTAAATTTATCAACAAACAATAATTTTGAACTATGAAACTAGCAAACCAATGAAAGTCATCTACAAAATTATGAAAAAAAGAACTGCTACAGAATGTTTTATAACTATTAGTAGGTACTGATAAGGTTTGATAATGTTTCCGGGGGTGTATTGCTGATAAGACATTCCATCTTGAATTTATCATTCCTTTATAGTAAAAACAAAAGGAAGAAAAAAAAAGGGGAAAAACAGTGAGTATATATGAAGAATCTTGAACTATTTGTAAATATGCTAATGAAAATGTTCCAATTTCAAGTTAAAGATCAACGATCAAAACGTTAATTATTCAGAAAAAAAATTGTTATACTAATTTGGATGGCTAATTTGGCGTGAATTGGCATCAACTTATTATCATTTTCAGTTTAACAATAAAATAAATTATAAGTAACTTACTCCTTTAGTATCATCAATATTACCATTCTTTATTCATTTGTCATAATATCAATATCTCTTATAAAATAAAAACAATTCCATGTTCACTTCAACTTCTCGTACAAATTTCTCTTGGTGACATTTACAAATTTTGAAATGACTAGAGCAAATCAATTACTTTCAATATTCAATTTCTTATCATTTTTTTTGTCAAGATCAAAAGGAATAATCAATATAACTTTTGCTGTTCCATTTCATTACTTATTATAATTCAAATTTACATAAATTCAGATTAAATCAGAGTTGAAAATAGCTTTGTTTGGCCGCAAAATTTTTTAAAAATTATTATTCTAAATTTGCAAATTTTGAAATTATTAGAAATCGGCTTACTGATTCATCACTGCTATCTTATTACACAATGATATGGTCATTTGCGCTGCAAAAAAAGAAAAACTAATTAAAATAAAAATAGTTTGGTTATAATGAATGAATAGTTCAAAAGATAGCACTTTTAAGTGACATTATTTGCATATATTATTAAAGAAATAATCGGCATGATTCATAATTTAGAATTCATTCATGTGCTATTGGTAATTTGGCGTGAAAATCGCATCATCTGGAGTTAAAGTAATAAAATTTACGAATTTCATTTTGTGTCATATTACAATAATGATTGAGAAAGTGTTGCGGAAAAAGTAATGGTGACGACATGAGCGCCAAAATCAATTTCAAACCAGATCTCTTGTATTGAAATAATCGATGGAGTATTTCTTTTAAGTGGATTACGCCTACCATGTAATTCATTGAAAGTCAATTTATTTATTAGTCTAGAAAATATGACAAATATTGGACGAATAGAGTGCCGCCGGGGAAGTGACGAAAGAAAAGAAATATGTCTTTGTACATTTTCAAATTTCAAATTTATTCAACCCACTCGTGAAATATTTAGTTGACTGGATCCAGGAAATTTGCAAAGTTACAGTGAAGTATTCTTGTAAACAAACTGGTTGAGAGAGTTCCTTTAATTATATTTTAATTATTGTCCTGTAATTTCGTTTCATTTCATTTCATTTAAATTTATCACATTCTATTCTTTCTTCTCCTTTTCACTTGAATTGTATTATTCATTGTATGAGTTATTTGAAAAAAAATTTATGCACCGCAAATATCAATCAAGCAATGACATTAAATTTGAAGTTAAATTAGAATGTTAAATTAAAAATTTTCAGAGATTGATGTAATTTGATTGCATAAATCTCCGAAAATTTTTTTCCGGAAAGAAAAAACGGCAGATTTTCATTCCAAGGATGTAAATTAGAACAAATGAAAGAAGAAGTAAACTTATTAAAAGTTAAAAGATAGAAAAAGTGTTGTTATCTGTTATTTCACAAAACAATGGTATTAATAACATTTTTATGCTGAGGAATTGAGCTGGAAAAAGAAATTTAATTTGAAATAATGAAGATGCGAAAGAGGCGAATAAGGATTAACCGCTTTCCGGATTGAAATTTCTTCTGCTGAGCTAATTTATCAATTGAGAATCAGTTTGCTCTATTTGTACTTTATCCTTTTCTTTTGTTTTCATCCTCAGATCATCAGCTGTCGTCATTTTATTCACTTTCATTATCTCTCCCTTTATTCTAAGATAATTTGATGACCGAAATTTCCATCATATCTCTGTTCCTCAATTTCCTTTGGGTTTAACCTTTTTCATTAATATAGTTATTTCAAACTTTTCCATTTCTTCTGAAAAACAAATGATCAACAGAACGATTTGGTGATCAGCAAATTTAATTGATTTCCTGCTAAATCTAACTTATTGTCTATTAAGTTGTGAACTATCAAATTCTAATTTAGTAATGTATGTGAAAGCGAGGAGTAGTTTAGTGTATTTTCTCATATCTACAGTAGTTAGAATACTCACTACCTTGCCAGCTACAAAATCTTAAATAACAAACTAATTTGAAATTTTTCAGAAGTTTTTTCTCAAAAAAGATTTGACTGATCGCTGTTAAGTTTTGTGAATTATTCAGTTTTCAGTGAAATGTTGAAACAGCTAATGGTATTACTGTACTTTGAAGAGATTAATGCTTATTTTACGAATGATTTCAATATCTGGCTTATGGAATTCTATGGATCTGACGTGCAAGCAACGTTGAATAGGTGAAAAAGATTTATTAAATTTTACGAGTTTATTTGTATTCAAATTCATTTATTAAAAAGGGATAGATATCTTAGGTTCAAAGTTCAAGTGATATTTGTTCTACATACATGTTAAGATTTTTTCACACTCTAACCACACTGATGGAGGTAAAAAGATGAAAGAAAGAAAGAAAAGAAAAGAAAAGAAGGAAAAGACATTTAACGATAATGATGATTAGTCAAAGTTTTTGTATGCTTTTCACATGGTCATCCTATCAAATACCTTTTTATTCCCATAAAAGCAAAAATTGTTATCAATTGTTAAATGGAATTTATATTCAGATGACATTTACTGATAAAGAATTATGCAATGAAAGATACGAATAAGTATTTCGATCCCTCAACAATCTAATAATTTTGAAAACAGAAGTAATTATAATTTAGGGCAGATTTGGGTTGGATGGGTTCCTTTGGTGGCAAACAATATCAGAATCAAACGTTAGCAAGGGATCCGATTGTTTTTGTACATGGTGTTTCGAATACTGCTGGAGAACAGCCTTTTATCGGTGCAAGCTATTTTTTGTATGCTTTTCACATGGTCATCCTATCAAATACCTTTTTATTCTCATAAAAGCAAAAATTGTTATCAATTGTTATCAAAATTGTCCACTACTGTCCACTATTTTCCATAATACTCAGAGCTTCTGGTTACGATTGGTCAGAATTATATGCGACGACGTATGCCAATGGAGCAGAAGGTAATCCAACGCAATGGGCGAAATATACGATGAATTGCAAATATGTCAAACAGGTATTTTGACCATTTGCAATTTTAAGAGTAAACTTAAAGTTTAAAAATTAATGGAACAAATTGATTAATCGTTCAAAATGATATTAGCTTTTTTTTCAAAAATGATTTGGTGATATGAAATATCTTGTAAGGGAAGATATCGAGCTTGGCTAACTCTCTCTCGAGTAGTTGTCACACAAATTGCTTGAAATAATATATTTCTTATTGCTACAATTTTAAATTATACAGTAATTGAATAATGACTCGGTAATTCTGCTTCACATTTTATTAAAACTTGTGTTCCATCAAGGTACGAGGACTGATTGTTGCTGTACACCTGTACACCGGTCGTGCGGTCGATGTCATTGCGTATTCGTTAGGTGTACCTGTGGCTCGGAAAGCTATCTTGGGAGGTGAGAACATGAATTTTAATTATTCCTTTGTTTTTTGTATTTCACAGCAAATTCTAGTTTCACACTTCAAATTCTCGCTCTTCACTTCTCGCCAACCCTAACACCAATCATTTTCGACATTTCATAAAGTACTCAAGCAAATCGAAAGTGAATTAACATCGATTAACTTTGAACTACCAGCCCTGTATAAGTATAAAATAAAACAGACCGATTGATTTATCCGTTATTGTTTGTTTGTTTATTTATTTCATCAGTATTTCGGATACCGGGAAATCGATCTTCGGACTTCTGCTAGATATAAACATGCATTTGGAGTAAAGTTTTGCTTATAATTAGATATAAATTGATTTATAATTGAGATATCATCATATTATTATTGTTTTCGTGAACCTTTCCCCTTTAGATTTTGTCCAGTATCTCTCATTCTGATAATATATTTAAAGTGTTTTTCATCTCTCGGTCCTTGTTTCATTGACTAATTAATGCATTTCAGGCTTATGCGTAGACACTAGAGAGAATCTAGGAGGTCCATTGACAAGTTCTATCGATACTTTTGTTGGCATTGCTGGACCAAATCATGGAGTTATGCCCAAGGTTTGAATAAATTTTCCAACTTTTAAAACCTTAATTATTTGAAAACTTCATTTTTCGCTATCCTAATTTATAGCACTTGTGTTTTGATATTAATAATGCTTTGTTTCCAGGTTGGTTTTGCTAGTCTTCCTGCATGTGCATTCAACCTGATGCCTATTTGCAATCAGAATACCGGTCTTTTTTCCGGTATATGTCCACTGGAAAGTGCTTTTTTAAAGGTTGAAATTATTGCAAAACTTTTCGAATGGCTGTTTCAAAAGGAAATTTCAGATATTTCAAGGTTATCATTGTGCTTCATTTGATATCTTTGCATATTTACAGGATATAAATTCTGCCGCAGGCTATGAAGGAAGATATATATTTACTATTTATAGTAAAGCTGATCAATTTGTTGGATACAATATTTGTGGCAAGGTAGATCTTCTTTCATTTTTTTTTAATTCAAATTGGTTACAATTAAATAGTTTAATTAGATAATGAAAAAAATAATAATAGTGACAAAAAAATCAGTGCCTAGCTATTCCTCTCATATTATTTATAAGCTAATTAATGTGGATTGACAAATATGATCAGTGTTATATTTAAAGGGGAAGGAAGGTTATTTTCCCAGTTGTTTGTAGAATTTAATTTATTTCGCAAAATAGTCAGAAATTAAGTTGACCTCATAGTTTGCCCTTGAATTCTGTTAAGCACACTTGATTAAAATTATCAAAAATCCACAGAAATCATTACTATTAATCTAAAATTATGTTGTGACTCATAATTGGATAAACATGACTTATTTGCATTTGTAATTAATTCAGATAACTTCTCAAATAACCGGTCAAAACGATGAAAAAGTCTATGATAAAAAGGACCATGATAAAACATTCAACGATTCATTGCCAGTTCAGCTGCAAATGGTACTTCATCATGTTGTGATATGATCTAATGCAATTAGCCTTATCTGTAAATTTAAATGAGATCTATTCCAACTTGATAAATCACCCGATCCGCTAATAACACTAACTGTTATCACTGGATAATGGACAAAACAATTAAATTATTTCAATTTCGATCAACATTAGAGAGAGAAAATTTTGTTAAGAGTTACTTCGTCATACAAGTTTACTTCTATTCCAATACAATTAATCAGGAAGATAGGAAAGAGAAGTATGAAACGATGAGGAATTGCTTATCTGAGGGTAGATGACAACAATTTTAAGGATCACTGTCATGATATAAACCAAATATATTGATCATTTTATCAGAATATAGTAATTGGGCATGAATCAGAACTGAATATAATAAATGTATTTTGAATATAACGCAGTTTGTGGTACTTCTAAATTTCCATACATTTACACCTCTGTATGCTGTTGCAGGTCACAGATTATTTTCAGTAGTGCTTCACATTAATAAGGTATATTTTTTCATATTTTTGACAAACCGATATATATTAATAATCTGGATTGAATTTGTGATTCCCTTGATGGAGCTAAAGATCGCACAAAAATTATCATATTTGGTCACTGTCACATCTGAGGCTGCGGCAAAAGATTCTTCAATTTCCTTAGTCTATAATTTATGCTAACAGTAACTAAGTATTTGTCATTAACTCAAATTCATCCACAAATGGTCTTAATGAATTAATAATACAAATTTATACCAGCTTAATTAGTCTGAGAATTTCGATGCATTTTTCGAATAATTCTAGCGCGGCGGCATATACATTTTACTTTGTTTTTTTAATGACCATTAATTAATTTAAGCACATGCTATAGGAGTTTATAGGTTTTCTACTAAAGAATGTCATATTTTATCATTGTAATAACTTTGCAGTATTTCCACATATGTTCAAACTTGCTTAGTTAATAAGATGAATTCTCCAAAAAATATTGCAATTTTCAATTTGTCATCGGAGTTGCGAAGACATTTATCTTTGAAATTGGCTAATTTATTTAAAAAAACCAGCCAAGCCATCAGCTACATATTGAATGCAAGTGACAAACTCGAAATTTAAAATGTCTTCCGAAGTTTACCACTCATGAAAATGAAATGTCATTGTAAGACAACGCCTTATTATAAAATTAGCTAAGATGATTGGGCCTTTCTTGCCAACAATTCTCATTCCATTTCGAAGATGTGACATTTTAAATTTGCGCATAGATTAAACATGTTTGCGATAGATTCGCGATAAATTAAAGATCAGGTTTGTTATCTTTGAATTAAGTACTTAGAATTCATACTTAGAATTCACTTAGGATCATCTTTGAAAAGTTCGAAATGATTAGCAAAATTTTTGTTGTCCTTCGCAACTTATCCTTTGAGTAGTTTCTTAGTTCAAGCTACTCTTCATGATTCCTTTTGCTAGTAATATTTACAAAAATACACTTCAAGTTTTTTTAAAATAAAAACTTATAATTATTTTAAGCAAAAAAGAAAAAAATTTACTATGAGAATAAAAGTGAAGAATTGAAAAAAAAACTACAATTCCTTGTGGTAGGAATTATTTGAATATTTTGATCGGATAAATGGATATTAAAAAATGTTTCTTTGTCTCTTTAAGCATGCATCCAGCTTAAGAGCATATACTGTTGATTATTTATACAAACTGAGATAGAAGCATTATCAAGCCAATGATAAAGTTCCATCTTATTTGGTTAAATAGCTTAAATAGCTAATATTATCATTTCCTCCAATTCAAGGTTCATAAGAGATACCTTTAAGACGCTGTTGGTGCAACAAATCACACCTGTCTGAGTCATCTCTTTAGAGTAACCTGATCGAATTTTATGGTATCTCTTATGCTTCTATTTCGTCTTCATCAACAGAAATTTTGCTACAAATAAACAGATCGTTGTTGCTAAGAAATTTTGATCATATTTACATTGCCCCTGAAAAGAAGATGAAGAAGGAAGTGATCATTTCACAACTCCATGTAAATAAAACGATCACGTCATCCATCTCCCAGACTACGAAGCTTTACAACCTTTTATATTAATGAACTAGTTGGTAACTTCTACAAACGCATGTGAAAACATCATGCTAATGAAAAGTTAGAAATAATAAAAATCTAAAATTGTAGTCTCCCACCATCATGAATGAAATGAGAATTATTATATCATTTCATTGTCGTACTGTCACACACTCAGCGACATCTATTATTTTGCATTTATAGACCCTCTCTGAAATGATTGACTCATTCAATAATGAAAAAAAAAAAAAACTTTCAATTTCATTCAAAATGACTGGAAAGTGGTCTGAAGGATGAAATATTTTTGATATTTTGATTTCAAAAAATGATTTCTCTAATTTTTTCTTTTTCCTTCTTTCTTCTCATTTCAATTATTAGCATAACATTTTAATTATTGACATAGCTTTCATGATCACTAATACTTCACTGGAACATGCCAGAATTTGAGAAACTTGGAACATCATTTTTTCGAAATCATATGTTGTAGCTTTATGTTGGTGGTATCGTCCAGAAGATAGTAAACCTAAGATTACTAAGCACTTGGAAAAGTTTTTTTTTTGCTTTTGCAATTTCTTCAATTATTGCACGTACTTACTTTGTTTTGTTGCAGTTATCAATCTAAAACAAAAAATTGCAAGTAAATAATTCATATTATCATTGAGAATTATGTATTTAAGTTAGAGTTATGAAATTTTGAGAAATGCTCCAACTTTGCCAACTCTTTACCAACTCTTGATGATAACTTTCCAACTCCAACTTTGCCAACTCTTGATGATAGATAAAGATGGAGTACCAAAGCAAAGAGATGAGAAGTATTTATTGGTTATTATTGAAGGATCAGTGATTTTCTTTTGTAAAAACGAGTGCTGCACATGAGATAGTGATAATATAAAGGCTAAATTGAAGAATTGTGGTAATGGGATAATAGGTGATTAAAACTAATTTAAATTATTGCCAGTTATCTATAAATTGTAACCTTTGCTTAATAAAAGACAGATAACTTGAAACATTGATAACATTAAACATCTGAAAGTGCAAAAGAAAAAATTCATACATGTTTAGTCTTTGAATGTTAGTATGAAATTATATAAAATTAATTCCCGAATGGCTTAATAAAGAAAAAAACAAGCTTTTCATATTTACACTGCAAAGAAATGAAGCCTATGTATTTTGCTCTAACATATGTTCTTTCTAATTCAGTCTAAGTTATGGCTAACTAATATTTTTCACTGTGGGGTTACTTTCTATTTTTAAAAAGTTCAAAGTTCATAAGGAAGTTATCCAATTTTTCAAGTTTTTGCCGTTAAATAAAGCGATCAAATGCCAATTTTATTTCTAGATAAGCTTCTTTAACCTTTTCTGGAGCATACTCTCTGATAGTTATCAGTAACATTAACCAAATAGCATATCACTTGTTTCCCTTATGAAATGTGATGAACCTTTTATAAATACAATAGTCTATAGTTTAGACTATTAGAATATTCATATTTCCATATTATTGCCCTTCCCGTAACTGTTATTGGTTAGATATTAAAATGACAGGCTATTTATCTTCCTTAGCACAGTTAATCTTAAAAATCTTATAGCTACTAAACTAAAATCTAGCAAATAGACGAAGGTATTCAAATCTTATCCATTCCGGTCTCTGATTCAGTCAATGTCAAAGGACAGAAGGTGAGATAGCATACAACAAGCATAGAATAAATAGTATGATATCTATTATGAACCAAGTTATAACATTTAGTAAGAGTGATACTTGAATGCTAATTTAAAATGATGTCAGATTCAACCTGACCTGAGCAGTGAGATCAAATCGAGCGTGGAAAAAAAAACACTTCAATTTCATTTTTAGCATTTTTTGCTGAAAATATTTTCTTAACCAATCCAGTTTCACTGTAACTAATTCGAATTAATTAACAACGAATTTTTTACTTCCAACAGTTTCTTTTTGTACCGTTTAAAGCGAAGATTTTTGTTCTATCATGAATTATTAATACTATCCAATTATTGATCGCCTTGAATTACAGCAAGGTTTTTTCCGGATTGGATTTTACGAAATTTCCTTACTTACCTACTTATCCAAGAATGTCAAGTGTCACGAAATCGATGATCTGTCTCTAAGCAATCATTTGTGTTCTGGCAATTTATTCGTCCTGTTTTATTTTGAAATAAAATTTAATAACTAACCTGAAAAGTGCATAATTCCAGAAATATAAATCAAAACAAAATGAGACTTTCTTTATCGTATTCTGTGCTGGCTCTGCTCCTTACTGTAGCCATAACTCAGCCATTCGTTTTGCAAGAATTACCACTAAATCAGTATTCCTTGAAGCGATATAATCAATTCAGTCGAAGATCTGTAATCGAAGACCTTCGAAATCACATGCCGAACTATCAGGTGAATTTTTCAAAATTTAAAATACAGCAAATAAGGCAAATAAAATTTTAACTGAAATGTTAAATGCAAACTTTTTGAAGTACTTAGAAGTGACCTTTTTCAATTATATAGCATGTCTTTTCCACTTCGATTTAAGGAAAAAAAATAAATGCCCTCTAGAGATTTTGGATGGCAACAAACAAAAAAAATGGAAATGAACATTTCAGGAATTTTATAATCTCTGACCTTAACCATGCTTGATTAAACCGAAGTATCGAAGATTTCGGAAAGTTAATCCAATATGATCACAAATATTTTTTCCTCATTTTATTGTAATCAAATTCTGCTCTACAAATTTAGCCTATTGACTCATTTTGTAACGGCAACACCACTGTAATTTGATAAGTAATAGCAAGAATAAACAACGCGATCTCTACATCAATATCCCAATTCTTCATGTGATCCATCTTGATTTACATTGCTAATGCTTTGGTTTAACATTTAAGTTGGCTTTTAACTTCCTGTAACAAATGAGTTGAAGAAATTCAAATGATGTAGTAAACTTCTTATGAGAACTGAGCCATCAAACATCTCATGGATATTCATATATTAGCTTCATAGATTATTAAAATCCAACAGAATATATTGGCGGAATTACCGAAGAAGCTAACTGCCAATGTTGGTAGTCTGAGACCAACTTGATCAACGAAAGGATCGACAAAATTTGACAGTCGGTTTTGGAAATCCTACGGATAAGATTATATCACCTCTCTACAAACTGCGCTAGACAGTTGAGTCGGTTCTACAAGTCCAATTAAGATCCCCGGAAATTCTAGGCGTCATGCCTTGGCATAGTTTTATAATCCGACTTTACCATATAAGCTTTGCCTTGTCAGAAGGATTACTAACCGTAAAAGTGAAGGTATTCATAAAACCAGAAACTGTTCAAAAGAAGAATCAGATCTATAAGATGATTTATTTGTTGATGACAATAGTTAGAACGCCAGAAACGTTGAACAGTAACAAAATGAAATACCGTAACAAAAAGAACTGTACACAACATCAGTCCATTAATGAATAAAAGAATTACGGCAAATCCATAATTTTTCAAAACAGAATACAAAAAGGTGAAATCATAAGAATCATGTTTAAACTAAACTTCTGAACAGATATCCGCAGCAGACAATAAAGTAAATAGTAACCTAAGAGCCGTAAAATTGTTGGCTAATTTGCTGGAGAGTGCTAGTGATCGGGAAAAAAATTAAGGGATGTAAAATGCAAAAAAGTAAGCAGCTTCCAGGTAACATTTGGAAAATAAACTAATGTGGAACACTACTTCCCTAACTTCCACTAGCTGAAAAACTCTTGACAGAAAGAAAATTAAGAACAATCAAAACTCGATTATCTCCATGTCTTCAACAGATGATCTTATCTACCCCACATGATTCAACAGATATCTTATCTACCCCAGTAGAGTTCTGGTATTGTTAGTAAGATGACGTCTTACAAAAAGTAAAAACCGTTCCATTTCAGAATCTGTTTTAGCATGCTTTAACAAATCAACGATTAGAACTGGTTAACAGCAAAACTTGAAAAAATGTGCAGTAACTCAAACTTTCAGATTCGGAATGGAATCGAAGAGCGCCATTCTGAATCAATGTTTCAATCATTACAATGCAAGTAAAAAGCAGCAAAAAACTGAGGTCAAAACAAATTACCGCTCTGAATTTTATAGAAAAACGAACGTCTGATAAAATGATAAACCCTCACGAGTTCGAACAATGTCAATATTTAATAAAAATTTTACCAACTAAGAAGGGAAAAACTGGAATTATTTTCGACGTCTGTCAGCTTCCTGCTGCGTGGGTGGTGGTGGTGGACCTTTCTTGTCCAACTCTTCCAGATACTGTTCCAGTAATCGCTCTCGCTCTACCGGGGCATTATTCAATACGATATATCGCTTATCATTCTGAAACGATGTCTAATAATCTCGTAAACGTATTAAATAATACAGTAGTCAATATTCGAAAGCAAGTAATTATAGAAAAGCAAGTAGTGATGGAAAGCAAAAAATGATGAGCTTTTGCTACCATAATTAAGAAACGTTTAACAGGATCAACAGTGTAGGACGCAGAAGAGCTAGTAAGATGTTGAAATGATTTCTGCAAATTCAAGAGAAGTCTCAAATTATATTTGGCTCCGGTTCCCAAACGAAAAAAATTTCCAACCATAACCAACCTCGAGTACCGCAAGTATGTCACGAAGATGCTGTTCGTTTTCTTGTATCATTTTTAAAGATTTGTAGGTAATAATTTTAGTCTCTTTTAATAAATCTTTGAAATCTTTCATTACTGCTTCTTTCCGTTCCTCCATCCATTCTTTGTAATCACGTTCTGTTTTCTGAATAACGTTGAGAATGAATACAAAAAAAAAAACAAAAAACAAAAAAAGGGCAACTTACTTTTAACTTAAAGCGATTTGATTTGATTGAAATCAACATTCCTAAGTCATAGAAGTTCTACTTTTGTAGTAACCATCCTTTGATTATTTCTCTCTTTGTCGATATGAGTGTAAAGTAAATTAAGAGTGCTAAAACCACTTAAGGAATAAATTAAAATCAGTGCATAAGGCCTAAAACTAAGTGGTTTATTTTCCTTTTTTTTTACCAGAGGTAGCCAACATTTCGTTTCGAATTTGAACTCATTTATACATATTGATTTTAATTTTATAAAGACAAAAACGACTCAAGAATATGAAGACGTAATGGATAAAAATCAGTAAATAAATAAGGGTAATAAGAACAATACCCTTTCACTAATGTTGAATTTTGCGAATCGTTCATCTTTCTCAATAATTTTTTTAGCTTCGCGCCACTTCATACTAGGTGTAATATCTTTTGTTTCATTTAACAACTGTAACAAATGCAATTTAAGATAAAATAAACGGAAGCATTACAAATAATTCGCAGTGGCTCCTAATTAAAACGGTGACGTAGCTACATTCCTAATTTCCAGCTTTAAAAAAAGTAATCATTGATGACCAAATAAGCAATGGGTCCAAAATTTCAAATACGAAAAAACCAATGATAATTTTAAAAATGAAGAAAAATTAATAAACGTTGACCTGGAAAAAAACTTCTCGTCTTTTTCTCTCCAAATGTTGAACATGTGCATCGAACAACCTTTCTTTAGCATCTTTTTCCAAAAGGTCGCAATTTTCATAACGTGAGTCTTTCCGTAAAATTCGACGGGCTTCATGCCATGTATAATCAGCTGATTTTATCTATAAAAAGCGGAGGTTCCTGATAAATAAGTTATATTAAAAGCTCATTGTGTAGAACATGACATAACTGATTGGTCTCGGATAACAAGCAACCGCAGCATTATATCAAAATAATGAAAATATCAATTTATGCATCAAACAGTACAACTTACCAAATCAATCAACAATGCTTTGAAAGATTCTTCATGTTCCTGATATTTATGCTTTTCATGTTCTTTACTTCTTTCTTTCAGTTGTTCACCTAGCTCAGCTTCCACCTCCTTCTTACGTTCCTCAATGGCAGCTTCGGCAGCAACGCGCTTTTGACGGTCATTCTCCTCTTCGATATCCTGAAATTTAATGATTCCTTCTTTTGAATAAATTTCGAATCCATTAGCAGTTTTATGTGCACAAGTTATATCGTGATTAACCCTTCGCAAACTTTTTATGCAGTGTATCTCAATCGCTAAGATAACAAAAATCAAGTACATTTTGGTGTCCAATATTCTTCTAATTTCAGATTTATAAACCAAAGGTGTTCAAAAGTTTAAGTGTAATACAGGATCAGTAGTCATAATATGGTAATATCAAACGGGAATCGAATAAAATAAATGGAAAAATTACTGAATTAGATTCTTCTGGCAGTGTATCCTGATATTCACGGAAAAGACTTTCACGACTTGATGATCGATCAACAGCTTTATAACGTTCATCATCTTCCAACTGCTTTTTCAATGAGGACCACTTCGTCCGAGAAGTAATATTCTTCTCCATAAGCATTGCAACAAAATCCTTACGAATCTACAATAAGAGGAATATCATTTTTAAATATAAGAGGAATATCATTTTTAAATTCTGCAATTTCATCCCCTCTTTTACCAGCCAGTTTTCAGTATTGAAAATTAAAAATCTTCATACATCGGCCAAACAAAGTATCTTCGTTCTGGGCTAACTTATCTCAAACCAGTTTACCTAACCTAAACAGAGGTAAACTTGAACCTTTTCCTTCCTCTCTTTGCGTTCTTCTTTTTCCTTCTTCTCTAGCTCTTGAACATATTCGTTAAAAATATCCTCCTTATCGCGCATTTTTTCAACACCTTTGAATCGACTATCTTTGCCCCACTTCGAAGCAAACGATGAAAACGACGACCTCAAAAAACGAACAAATAAACAGCAGCAGCAAAAATATTGAATATTTGATGGTAACAGAAACGACAACTCAACCCAAAATCGCACAGTCCAAAACTCAATCTATTCCCACCACTCCACTACAACTCTTTCTATTTTAATTGGAATAACTGATAGGTTCTTCGTCGCAATAAAGTATTTTTCCGTTCAAATGGAGCATTTTAGAAATAGGTAACACATAGCAAAATGGTAAGACTACAGAACATATTCTAGCGCACTGTTAACTTTTTTAAAATCTTCAAATAAACTAACCTTCCATGTAATTTGGCCTCTTCGAGCAAATTCTTAAAATTTTCTCGTGCTTCCTTAGCACGTCTTTTTTTCTCAGCTCGTTCAATCTCAGTTCGTTCACGAACATATGCTTCGAAAGCCTCAATTTAGACAATTTTTAAGTATTATTACTATCAATAAAAATGATTTTATCCACTTCAACAAGAAACAGTCAAACTGTTCCATTATTTAAAAAGAGTTGAAGATGTTATATAAACTTACAGCTTTCCGCTCCACAGCATTCAGAAGTAGATAACGCTTATCGAATACAATTTTAGATAATTCCTTCTCCCAGGTGCTTCCAGCACTAACATTTTTCTCTGTTAACATTTCTTTAAATTCCTGCAGCCTACGCTCGAACGGTACCTGCAAAAGATTTGAAATGTTATGACTAAAGGAAAAACAATCTCACTCATTTGAAAAGTGAAATTTACCTACAAATATAAACAAGCTCATAATTCGTTCTATATACTTACACCGATAACAGTGAAAAATACGACCTAGATAAGCTGCCTCTTTTTTATCTTGTTTTTCAGATTTGCCACTTTTTTATTTCGGGGTGTTTTTAAAATTCCAAAACCTTGTATCCCGCTTGTCACCTCCTTTCTGATACTTAGTTAAAGAATTATTCAATACATCACCTCTTCTCTCTCTTTTTGTGCTTGTAATTCTGCTTGAATTGCTGGATCAACTTGTTTCTCAAGCATCTGCCTTGGCCTATCCTTCTCTTTTTTCGCTGCCAATTGTTCTAGCCGCTGTTTCTCTCTGAAAGTACCATACCATAAAGGAATTCGAAGAGTTCTAGAAACTTAGCATGATATAACTACACATCATTTTGAAGAACTCACAGCTTCTTTTCTTTTCGACTCTTTTTAGCTGCTGGTGGCGCATTTTCTTCGTCATCATCGCTCTCCTCCGAACTCACCGTCTTCCCTTCATCATCGGCTTTTTTGACAATTTCCGACTCTGTAGTTTAATTTTCTTTTTAAAAAACTTGAGAGTTTAAAATCTGAAGCGTAAGATTTTGGACCTATGGACCTATACTATGACTGGTAAATTTAAAACTGAACGACGTTATCCAATGTCAGGAGTGTAAAATGTTTACATGTTTTAGCAAATACAGCATAAAGTACAGGAAAATGAAATGTGCCTCAAATAATATTCTTCGTTAAGCAGTAATAAGTTTGACTGACAGTCTCAAAAATGGGTGATATGATATAACTTGAGAAATATACCTTTATGTTCGAAAAAAGTGTACTCACTTTTCTCTTCCGGTGGCTTCGATACTAATAAATCGACATCTGGCCGATTGTACAACTCTGGTGGTCTTTCCCAGACTGATGTACGTGTTGACGGATTATAAAAGAAAACCTGAAATTGAAGAGTGTTGGTAGATTTTAGATTATTCGTCAATCCACACTGAAGTTGCTTATCGTTTTTTAAGAACATCAGCAGACTTACTTTACGGTCGCCTGTCCATACCACACACCAAGGAGTGCCAGCCACAGGATTACTGCTAACGGGTCTCGACTTATCCACTTGCTTCGCTTCAACAGTTTCTGACTCCTTTGCCGATTCCTCTTCATGTTTTTTCGCTTCTTCTGCAGCTGCTTTAGCTGCCGCTAATTGAGCTTGCACCTGAAATAATTTTTACGATTATTTTAATATTTTGCAATACTTCAAATGCAAAACTTGCTACAACTCCCATCAAATCTGTTCTGAGTTTTAACCAGAGAATAACCAGAGAATAATTCAAATGCAAAACTTGCTACAACTCCCATCAAATCTGTTCTGAGTTTTAACCAGAGAATAAGGACAAAAAAAGATTCGTAATTCGAGATTAAGCACACCAAAGAGACACTGTCACCTATTCACCGACATCCTGAATAGCAAGTGGATTAAATACGATGGTTGATAATTGCAATTGCGAGTCTACTTGGGAAAATGTGATGCTTAATGCTGGTTCTATCTGTTAGAAATAATAAAAAAAAATGAAGCTGTTCTGTTACCGTCCAATATTCGCTAATCGAAGATGAATACTTAAGAAAAACATGACCTGCTGTTGTGCTAAAGCTGCAGCTTGCTGTTGAGCTTCCGTGAAAGTTGGTGTATTAGTATTATTCTCAGTAGAATCACCAGTGCCACCGGCAGCAGTAGAAGCTGAAGACGAGAAAAAAGAAAAGTAGCGGATCTTTTCAGCGTATGTTCTTCCCAATAATTATGCTAGTTAAAAATCCTAACAAATTTGGATACGGAAGCAGATGCGAAAAAATGGATACGAAAGCAGCACATATCTTCTCGTTCTTTTATGTTTCAGATTTACACACAATACACAAAATACTAGTTGAAAGGGAATACGATACTTTGTTATGAATTAATAGCTTATACATGCTCATGAGCACAGTTATACAAAACTACTAACCTTCAAGCACTTTTGGTTTATCCCACGTCGTTTCTTGGGTTTGAGTGTTGTAGTAGTATTTACGTCCATCAGGTGCTGTATATTCTTGCCAAAGCGCAGCCTCTGGTGACACTGGAACACCCTAAAATACAGTTGTGAATAATCGCCACAGAAAATTGGAAATAACCTAAATTTTCGATTTGATGAAACGAACTTACATCAGTACCAGGACCAATAGCTGCCGGCACAACGGGCGGCATTCCAGGAACAGGCATCGGATAAGCTGGAGGAACACCAGGGAACATAGGTGGGTAACTTGGACCACGTGGGGGAAACATCATAGGTGGCATCATAGGAAAGCCTATAAGGCAATTGATTTAAATTATATACTTAGATTCTAGAACCAGTTTTTGCGATAGTATTTCAAGATACTAGACATTTGAGTACTAATAATCAGATTTTTAGTAATAAAATATTAATTGATTCACATATGTTAGCTTAAATAACAGTAGAGATGGTTCGCCATTCTTTTTTCAATTTAAAAATTCAATAACCTGGTGGTGGCATCATTGGTGGATATCCACCCATCGGCATACCAGCGGCCATTTGTGGTGGTACACCAGATCCATAAATTAATAAACCAAAGAAAAAAAAAGAAAATCAAATGATATGAAATGGAATGAAAATATATATATATATATATATATATATTGGAATGGAATAGAATAGAATATATATATATAATATATA